TGTGTGTGTGTGTGTGTGTGTGTGTGTGTGTGTGTGTGTGTGTGTGTTGTTCATCAGGTACGATGGTTTCCCCGTGTTGACTCTGGACCTGTTTGACCCCATGGAGGGTCTGAGGACCCCTTGCTCCCGCCTCGCTGCCAGGCACAGCTGTCCCACCAGCCCTGCCCCCATGTTCAGACGCACCAAGCAGGTCAGCGAAGCAGTAACTCGCTGTTCTTCAGGTTCTGAGCTGAAGCTCTTCAACTGAGTTAATGACAGCACAAGGTTATTTTTCTAAATTAACAAACTTGTAACTCCCCCAAAAAGTATAATCCCCAAAATACAGATGATTTATTGAGAAAGATTACTCTCAAAATATATAAGAGCCAAGAAAATGAATCAGTTTTACATAACTGCACTGCCTTAAGCAATCTGTTTATTAGGGAAATGGAAGTTTCATTTATTTTGTATTAGTGGTAATAAAATGGATTTCATTTACTGGGTCAAGGGACGAACTTCTAATCTAAACGTTCAGAATTCAGCCTGAGATTTAAAGAAACAGTGTGTAGCATTCAGAGATGGAAAATGAGGAGAAGTTTCAGTTGGTTGCAATTTGCAACCTCACTAAATGTATGAAACTACAACACGAAGACTCCTTGGTCTGAACCAGGAAACTATTTCTCCTTTCTACCATGACAAACGCAACGCAGATCCACTCCTTCTGTATTTACATTTCACAATAAAAGCCCGAGAGACGTATTTGCATTTTCGTGTCGTTAATTGGTGACATCGCCGGAGTGTAAAGGGTCTTTAGAGATAGGGGAGGAGCTCAGACATGAGGAGTGAACTCGGAGTAGAGCTGCATACAAAATGTCCAGCTGAGGTTGTTCAACATCTGGTCTGATCAGGATCCTCCTTTAGAGGTTTTCTGGGGACGTCCAACTGGTAAGAAGCCCCGGGGTAGAACCACAACACGCTGGAGAGATTATAGATTGTATATCTGGTCTGGCCTGGGAACGCCTCGGGTCTCCCAGGAAGAGCTGGAAAAAATTCAGGGGAGAGGGACGTCTGGAACACTCTGCAAAAGCACATCTATGAGGCTGACTTTTTGTTTTTAAAGAACGTCTTCTTCCTCGCCCTCCTCTTCATCCACAGGAGATCAAGTCAGCCCAGAAGATCGCCAAGAAGTACTCGTCGGTCCCCCAGCTGTGGTCCAAGTGCCTCCTCCGTCATTGCTACGGCCTGTGGTTCATCTGTCTGCCGGCATACGTGAAGGTGTGCCACTCAAAGGTGCGGGCGCTCCGAACGGCGTACGACGTCCTCAGGAAGATGCAGGCGAAGAAGCTGCAGCCGCCTGACGAGGTACGTTAGCCTTTTACCATAGACTTTATGACAATGTTGGCATTTTCTGGCTAATCGAGATTAAAAACAACCTCATATATTCACATTATAGGGATTATCGTACGTGTGGTCACAAGTGATTTTGAAAAAGCGACCGAGGTTATATATATATATATATATATATATATATATATATATATATATATAT